GCAATGTAATGATAACTTTTCCCAAACTTTTCCCAAACTGTTTGGATTTATCATGTAATAAAATTTTGGCAAAAACATGTTATTCTTTTAATAATTTTAGATGTGAAGATTATGAAAATCTATAAATATTATAAAGATATTATTCAACTTTTACTCAATTAACCTTTCTATGAAACCATGCCCCAAACTTCATAAATAGTCCAGGAGTAAACAAATGAAACAGAACAGATTATCCTAATGTTTCGGCTTGAAATTCTATATCTCTGCTCATATGAGTATACTGGAAGATAGAATATCTATCAGCTATTTCAATGTTAGAGCTTTTTACACTTGCTCAATGCAGAGTTTTCACATTTCAATAAGACATTTCCATTTTAAACTTTCTATTCTGCAAAGTCCTATATTTATCATTGTTATGTGATAACTAATAAATGTATCATAATTCAATCATTATGGAAATTATGTGAAAGTTTAAAATGCAGAAATTGTCCACTAAATACCAAGTGCGTCAATGAACAATATATGTACATAAAATTATATTCATTAATTTTGCGCTGACAAGATTTGCGAATGGTCTTTAAAAAGGTATCTTGTATCATTAGGAAATAAAGCATATTATTTTAGAAAATAGAAATCCTATCCGAAAAAGTTTTCAAAAGTTAATTACCTTAAACTCATCTCTAGTCTTTGATATCCTTTGAGAGGGGAATCCATTTAGGCCTATTCTATTTTCAAGATGACATCTGAATCCAAATTATTCACTGGAAATCAAATTAGTTTCAACTTTTGAAATGTGTGTTCTAACAATGGTCATTGTCTATCAAAAAATAAAAGTGCTACCAACAATTGCCTGGTCAATTTTGATTAAACCCTTTACTGAAAGCAGGTGAGTGCACTCTGATCTAGTCAAAACTACAAATCCGTCTAAAATCGATGACATCTTGTATCTCAGTCTTCAGCCTTTTGTTGTTTACAATTGTGAAAAGCTATAAGACAAAAGAGGATTATAGATTTAATTAATAAGGTCTCTCTTGGATTGAGCCTTTGGACCATCATAGACTCAAAACCCACAGCCATCCATTACGATACAATAACTTCCCTAGAAATACAATAGTTAAGAATACTATTAAAATAAGATAATTCTTTTGGAATATCAATAAAAGCAGTACTGTGAGTAAGATTGTTGGCCATTCTGAGAGAAATATAAAACAGATTGCACAATCCAGATTGCAGTTTGCACACTGTGAACAATCTGCACATTGCAACATTGCTAAGATTGTTGAGATTGTTGACCATTTTGAGACGAGAAGTAAAAACAGATTGCACAATCCAGATTGCAGTTTGCACACATTGCAACAATCTGCACATTGCAACATTGCTAACATTGTTAAGATTGTTGACCATTCTGAGGGGAGAAGTATAAAACAGATTGTACAATCTAGATTGCAGTTTGCACACATTGCAACAATCTGCACATTGCAACATTGCTTAGATTGTTAAGATTGTTTATTGAGATTGTTGACCATTCTGAGGTGAGAAGTATAAAACAGATTGTACAATCCAGATTGCAGTTTGCACACATTGCAACAATGTGCACATTGCAACATTGCTAACATTGTTAAGATTGTTGGCCATTCTGAAAGGAGAAGTATAAAACAGATTGCACAATCCAGATTGCAGTTTGCACACATTGCAACAATCTGCACATTGCAACATTGCTAACATTGTTAAGATTGTTGGCCATTCTGAAAGGAGAAGTATAAAACAGATTGTACAATCCAGATTGCAGTTTGCACACATTGCAACAATCTGTACATTGCAACAATCTGTACATTGCAACATTGCTAACATTGTTAAGATTGTTGACTATCCTGAGGGGAGAAGTATATAACATATTGTACAATCCAGATTGCAGTTTGCACACATTGCAACAATCTGTACATTGCAACATTGCTAACATTGTTAAGATTGTTGACCATCCTGAGGGGAGAAGTATATAACAGATTGTACAATCCAGATTGCAGTTTGCACACATTGCAACAATCTGTACATTGCAACATTGCTAACATTGTTAAGATTGTTGACCATCCTGAGGGGAGAAGTATAAAACAGATTGTACAATCCAGATTGCAGTTTGCACACATTGCAACAATCTGTACATTGCAACATTGCTAACATTGTTAAGATTGTTGACTATCCTGAGGGGAGAAGTATATAACAGATTGTACAATCCAGATTGCAGTTTGCACACATTGCAACAATCTGTACATTGCAACATTGCTAACATTGTTAAGATTGTTGACCATCCTGAGGGGAGAAGTATATAGCAGATTGTACAATCCAGATTGCAGTTTGCACACATTGCAACAATCTGTACATTGCAACATTGCTAACATTGTTAAGATTGTTGACCATCCTGAGGGGAGAAGTATAAAACAGATTGCACAATCTAGATTGCAGTTTGCACACATTGCAACAATCTGTACATTGCAACATTGCTAACATTGTTAAGATTGTTGGCCATTCTAAGAGAAGTATGAAACAGATTGTACAATCCAGATTGCAGTTTGCACATATTGCAACAATCTGCACATTGCAACATTGCTAAGATTGTTAAGATTGTTGGCCATTTTGAGACGAGAAGTATAAAACAGATTGCACAATCCAGATTGCACATTGCACACATTGCAACAATCTGCACATTGCAACATTGCTAACATTGTTAAGATTGTTGACCATTCTGAGGGGAGAAGTACAAAACAGATTGTACAATCCAGATTGCAGTTTGCACACATTGCAACAATCTGCACATTGCAACATTGCTAACATTGTTAAGATTGTTGACCATTCTGAGGGGAGAAGTACAAAACAGATTGTACAATCCAGATTGCAGTTTGCACACATTGCAACAATCTGCACATTGCAACATTGCTAACATTGTTAAGATTGTTGGTCATTCTGAGGGGAGAAGTATAAAACAGATTGCACAATCTAGATTGCAGCTTGCACAATTTGCAACAATCTGCACATTGTGACATTGCTAAGATTGTGAAGATTGTTGGCCATTCTGAGAGAAGTATAAAACAGATTGTACAATCCAGATTGCAGTTTGCACACATTGCAACAATCTGCACATTGCAACATTGCTAACATTGTTAAGATTGTTGGCCATTCTGAGAGAAGTATAAAACAGATTGTACAATCCAGATTGCAGATTGCACACATTGCAACAATCTGCACATTGTAACATTGAGAGAGAAGTATAGAACAGATTGCAATTCAGATTGCAGATTGTCAACAATCTTACAGAAAAAATGCAATGTGTAAGTGATTTAACATAGGAGTCAATGGAGAAGCAGATTGTTTTCAGTTTGCTAGAGGTACCCTATTGGCCATAGCTAAAAATGAGAGGCCCGATAAAAAGAACAGACACTGTAAATATTTGCAAGGCATGCGGTGTCAACTTTTATTCGTATTTACAATCGCAGTTCGAATGGATCAAGTGCTCTAAATGCCACGACTGGTTTCATGATTCCGGGAAATGTTCTCGTGTAAAGGGGATATTCATTGGAGAAATATTTACATGCTTTAATTGCAATAAAAGTCTACCTTAAATGTGTAAATTATGTAAACGTACGGTTATGTTTAAAAACCTAAGCGACCATCAGCGACACTGTTAAATAACAAGGAGGAGTGATTGACATATTCGTAACAATGTTGTATTTTGATGTAAGAAGACATATGTGTGTAATTTGTACATTCATTTTGTCGATCGACGAATTGACTTGGCATATTATTTAGCTTAGAAAACAAAATCTTAAAATTAATTATCTTTAGGGAAACTCAAAACAATGTATTTCAATGATTATCTTAATAAAATTCTCTTGTTAAGATAAATAACAACTATTGCAATTTATTTTTGTTCATGTGATTAAATAGTTCAAACTTAATACATTAGTTTATCTTTAAACTCAAAATTAATTTTGAAACATGAATCAATGTAAGCCTATGTATGCACCATCATCGACACCAGCAATTTAAGAGTATATTTACGTTTTGATGCACAATCAAGTAATTGTTTAAAGGGTAATACAAATATTTTGAGAAACGCTTCTTAAACCCCATGGCTAATGGTATATGCATTTATATCTCAATCTAAAATTTCATTTTTTCAATTTTTATATTGATCAAATGTGAAAGAGATTCGTGGCTTGACTGTTAAGTGCTATGGCCTATACACAAGAATTATACATTTTCAATCAATCCCAGAAATAAGGAGATGCTCTTCTTTTTCTATGTCACAAAATTCGAGACAAATCTTGCACAATGCTCATTAAATCCAAATCCATCGAACGGTATTTGAATTATCGCCCCGGCAGACAGACTTACAGACGGACGGACGAGTTCTCTATATCCTTGTAGTTAAACCTGTTAGATTGGATAAAAATCTGTTATGATTTTCGAATAAATAGCGGTTATCATTCTTTCCTGGAGCTTATCACTTTATATTGATCAGTTTGTTAAAAAGGAACTGGAGGATGTTTTCGATCATCAGCAGAATGAATGCAATGTAACAGGTATTGGAGTATTGTGTTTTTGTTGGTACTCTCAAGGACAAATTAAATGCAACCAATAAATGTCACATTACTCTTAAAAACATTATTGACTGTAAAGCACTTTGATACTCCCAGAAAGTGAAAGAAGAACCCACACGTTAGAATTCTAGTTGAATCAGATACTGTTTATTTTTGACGTCGATCAAACAAGAAGAAAATAAGGAAAGCAGGTAATGTCATCAGTAACGTTTTATATGTCTCAGCTACAATCTGAATCCTGGTATTAATACTGTATATTCAAATTGGGTCGTGGTAAAACAATGACGCAGTTCAAAGTCCAAGAAGATAACAAGGGAAGCGTTAATCAAAAAGTAGGCCTAATGAAATGCGAGACAATTTAACCTTCACTGAAGTGATGAAAATAAAATTCAATTTGGAAACAGAGTATGGGAAAAGCAATTGGAAGAAAAAAGCATGTGGACCTACATAGAGCTATTCAATATTAAAGTATTCAAACTTTTGTAAAACATTTTCTGATTTCAACAATGTCGCTACCAAATATTAATAACAACCCTGTAAACAGCATGAGTACATTCACAAAATATTTATTCAGTAGTTGATAGCGATTATCATATATTTACACATTTTCTTATAACCCAGATATGTATAAAGTATAGGCCCAATCAGACACCAGACATTCTACATTGCGCCTCTTTTTCCGAAGTTGTACATTTATATAGGGGGGCTACCTCGATGGGAAACACATGGGTATTGGGTAAACCATACCTTTGATCATGATGACTGCATTTGTGACAATGACCATCGAAGAATAACTCTCTGATGTGACAAATATTTCGAAGGACTGTCTGATATTACACGGTCTTCTAAAGGACTCTCTGACATAACAAAGACAGTTTCCTCTGTATCTACATACAATACGAAGGAAAATCAATACGATATTGTGATTGTGAAAATGATATAAATACTCTTTATTACACCACAACTTCCCTTAGTAATAGAATTTGACTTCTCAATTTTTTTAAATTCTTCGTCTTTGTAGAATCTCGACAGGCCCGCAGCAAGGGGGAGTTCGCAGGGTTTGGGCGACCCCCTCCCCCCTGGCCACCAAAAATTCCTTCAAAATCATGCAGTTTTCCACCATTTTGAGCACTTCTCTAAGTGATTTTAGCCATATTTGGTCCAAAATTTTCAAACGTGAACCCCCCTGGAAATTTTTGAAAACTGAACCCCTGGCTAAGGGCCTGCTCGATGCTAGCTTCTGAATGTAAATGCAATTTATTTTTGGTGGTTTTGAAGCAACCTTCTATCATATTGATATGCAAGTCCATTGTCCCATTTTCAATCTCCATTGTAACGATATTTGTGTACGTCGTCCTTGCAATATTCAAGTTAAATATCCAAGAAAAATTTATAGGCCGATATCACAAATACAAGGGCACATATTTTCCATGTCAGTGCGTCATAACGTATCTTTATTAGTTGATATAAAAAGGTACTTCAAAAGACCAAGGTCAGGGCCATCTAAACATAAGACAGACAGGAACGCCAGGTTCTTCAAGTTCCAAAGCACGTATACCAACTCGGTGGGACCAAACATACGTATAAAGTACGGATTCCATTGGAATTTATCACTGCAAATATACCTGATTAATTACTGGCAGTTACGGAGAGTCTCCCTCCACGATGGCCTGTGACAGAATATGTCCCAACGCTGATACTCCGCTCATTGTTCGAATCCGCTGTCTGCCTCATTCCAACCCCAACAGAACATCGTGGGGTCATATTTCTCCTGAAGGTACTACCATGTCCATTCATACTGAGTAGCGAGTCCGCGCGGGGGTCGGTAATGTTGCGCCCACAACAGAGGCGACAGACGATATAACGATACGCTGCGCAATACTGGTGGTTCATGACTCCATAGATGATCCAATTGATACTGGAAGAGAGCCAGAGTAGTTGCACTGTGGCGAGATACACACCGTGCGATTCAGCGTTCTCGCGATCGACCCCGTTAAGGATCGAAAGCGGAGTATAACAGAGCACAAAAGTCACAAATATGACAACCATTGTTTTGAGTAGTTTATACTCACGCTTCATCCGATGCATTGTGTACGTTTCATGACTTCCTGATTTTGCCACCAGCTTTCCACTCTCTTTGACGGAGGCGTAGATTTTAACGTAACAAAAAATAAGAAATAATCCCGCTCCTCCAAGAAACAGTACTTTCTTTATGAAGCCGCCTATATTGGAATATGAATGGCGTTTGTATACACAGAACATGATTTTTGTGTTGAAATATACGAGAGGGGGGCCTTCCGGATGTGCAGCAGTGTATCCGACTAGCTTTGGAAGTGTCGGAGCCACGATTATGACCAAAGGTAGTAGATATAAAATTCCCAGTATTATAAAGATGGCGAGTTTTTTGTGCAGTTTCCTGGATGTGCGTCTATGGACCACTATAAGATACCTGTAAAATGCTATAACTGCGATATGAAGTATGCTCAAAAGTATACTCAGATTACTTAAGTACATAACGTAAACGCAAACGCTGTTATCAAACGTCCACGCTCCATGAACGTACGTGTAAATGTAAAGTGGTTGTACTCCCAGCGCTTGAAGTAAATCACAAAATGCCAAACTCGCAACGAAGATGTTTGAAGCCTTTTTCATTTTAGGAATTGTTAGGATGGCAATGATTAGAAGAATGTTCCCAAATATACCAGTTATTGACACAATTGTTCCTGTTATGGTCCCAATGTACGACACGCATGCAGGGATATAATTCGGCACTCCGTCAAATTCCGGAGAAGAGTTCTGCGGCGGTCCACCTGGCGGTTCATTTGTGCTGATATAAACAGTAAAATTTAAATTATCACTATAATTCGGGTTCCTTTCATAACCTGCCATTCTGTAATGTATTGACAACTCAGTCATCAACTCTTTCTACGAGTTTTGAACTATATCAAGTCCTTACGGGATTCGGTGCGTTGTGAAAAGTAATTCGTCGATGCAGATGTAGTCGAAGGCATTTTTCATAATCACTGTCTCCGTCGTGTTATCTTGCTGTATTTCTAGGATGTATTTGAATTTGAATGCCTTTGTGCTTTGTTCACTTCACATTTGTTCACCAACCTCGGGTTTTATCAGTTTCTATTTTCCGTTTTACTACGCCAGGTTCAGGATGTATAACGTTAAAAATAATCCGTATAAAATTAATCAACTTCATTAACTCTCTGGAAGGAAGACCGGCTCATTGAAGATTATATCTTGTAATAAGTAATATCTTTAGTTATCCTAGCCGTTGTGTGCCGTAATAGATTTTCAACGCAACTGCTATTCGCCTTGGGTTTAAGCCTCGACTGTTCCAGCTCTCATTTACGCCCGATCTTATATTAGCTATAATGTGTTTTGATACTCGTTGTGGAGAATATATCAGGTTAAGTTCAGAAGTTTCTGCAACGGAATTTAAATAAGCGAATCTTATTGTAATTTCACTTTAATTATTTAACTGTGACATTTGAGGTTTATGTATGAAATGAGATCAATGCTTTCTCAATCTTTTCATCATCCCATATGCAGGGTTTTGTTTACACTAGTAAGATGGAACTCAATTGAAATATTATGTTCCATGGTGACAAGTATTTTTGCATTGAATTGGCAACCTGGTTTTCATTTTGCATGCAACAATCCTGTTCAATTATCGATAAACCTTCTCTCACTCAAACCTAAAAAGTGATGTTTCAACAGTAAAATAACTCCCTGGCCTCGTACATATTGTAATTTTTAAGCATTATAACATGTAGACAGTTTGCGTCATATCGAAATCGCACCGTCATTTTGAAACTGATGAGCTTCCGCTATGAGATGCAACTAATGAACCAAATTTGTCTGTTTTTCGGTTAAAGATAGAGTAGTCGGTTTACAACTATTAATACGAGGTAAAAAATGTACAATACAATGAGGGGAGGAATGTAGGAGGATTTATAAAATAAAGATTAAGAGTAAATATGACCTCTCATCTCGTTTCGTAGTTTGCCAATGTTAGTGCTATGTTAATGATGACCTATCGCCTCCGTGAAAGAAGACAAGATAGTGCATAAAACATGGACGGCGCCCGGTTCAGCCCTCATCGAGATACTCCAGCTTTACCATTTACATTCGTTCAACATTCGTTCCACTTAAAAGAACTAACTTCTGCGCCCAGGGTCAGTAAGTCTAGAGTAGCGTTTCAGACGCTTTCTTCAGCTTTACTGATACGAAGGAGTTTATCTTAGAAGGATAACTAATTGCTATTTCGCTTGTTAACTGCAATGAAAAGGTCAAGAAAAACATTCCATAATTATTAAACGTTTATGTTTTCAGCGTAAAAAGGTCCGAGTAATAAATACTTGGCGTGTCTGATTACTCGGAATTGCTCTTGCTACTTAACCTTGGAGCCCATATTATCTATTGGGCTGATTGATGGAACCAGGAGGCAAGACCGAGGATGGAAATCAGGTGACGAATGAAATAAATATTAGGAACGCATCCGACTTTCTCTTAAAACATTTAAGTGTCTGCATTCAACGTGTTCTAGAGAAATCTCATTTCCGGCAAATAGCATCAAAATAGACCATGTCGTTGAATTTCTTCTCAGCCGGCGAGATCACGATACAAGTGAAACGATCATGCATGAGAATCAGAATGGCAAATTGAGAAAAATACTTTCCCGTACCCATTCAACACTGAGGAAAATTCTTAAGTGAATACGCAGCTATCCTTTAAGAATGGTAATAACTTTTCCAGTTATATTTCCTTTTTTATTTGCTTGAATTATTAAAAAAGTATGTATTGTAATGTAAAGAAAGCTCTTTACAACCCATTTTTCCGATCGATACTACACCCCCTTCGTAAGTTGACGTAGTTACGAGAGTCCACATTTGGATCATCTATCAATGCCTATTTATGTTTGGTGATTTAAAAAATTCATAAATTTCCGAACTTTTGTACTCAAGAAGCAAAATTAAGATTCAGACATTGATGACATTTGACGTGCAATCCAAATGAAAACTACAGGTTGCCAAACTTGAGGAGGGTAGTGTATTTCAATATTATATTTCTATTCGTGAAAAAGTAAAGTTGACTGTTCACGCATGGTCAATGGTGATTCAATGGTTTCTTGAAATTAGATTTCCCCTTGTTGCTATTTTAACGATTCTTTCATCTAATTGCATCCGAGATAATTTGAGGTAAGTGTCCTAGATATTGTGCATGGGCGGAGTACGACCATGCCTCATCACTCATCGGCACGAGAGTGTTTATTTATCGCGGATGGTTGAACTGATACAGTTAAAAGAATCTTGAATAAAAGGATCAAGTTATTGTTTGAAACAAGGATATAGGGCAAGAATGTTTTGAAATTAGGATTAGTATCGATAACCGGAATTTCATAATGTAGACTATCGACTATGAATTACTTATATTCTTTTGTGTCAGTGGAGTGATTTTGATATGACGCAAACTGCCAATATGGAATACGTGCGAATCTACGAAGCCAGAAAGTTATCAAGGTCACTAAGGACTTTACTCCATTAGTATAATACTGCCCTTCGTATGAAAATAAATTACTATTATCAATCCAATATCCAGTACTCGGGGTTAAGAAATAGAAAGTGACCCGTGCGTCAAAGTTTGGATAAGTTCCATTAACAACACAATTTGAACGTTTTCCAAGATAAATGATGTTACGTGGGAACGACGTATGGAGACTCGTAAAATAGCATCAATACATGTTAGTCTTCACATTACATTTCTACAAGTTGAGTTATGATTACTGGACCCTTTCAATAAGCTTTGGCTCTCCCGCGCTGGTACAGTCATCTTACTTACTACTTAGTCTTTGAACATGTTCGACTTGTAACGTATATGATTTGTTCGTTAACTAGATGTTACTACTTGAGGTTGAATGTAGGAGGATTACGTTATCAAGCAAAACACCCAACAAATATGTTTGATTTAGTAAATAGTGATGGAAAAATGACAGATAAAAACTAAGGAAGTCCAATTAGGTGAACGTATCAATGTATAGATTTACATTAAAAATAAAAAATTACGTTAAGGCCCTACCCACTCATACTCTTTCAATAGTTTGATTTTGCTTCTTTAAAAGAGAACTTCGTCCACATCATCCTAATGAATCTTCTCAAGGTGTTAATATAGAAACAATTATGTATAAATTGTATATTTTGCATTGATGTTACACTCGGGGACGTAGTTGAAAGGCAAAGTTTGTTTAACGTTACGTAATATCAATTTGAGGTTTTATTGTAAATCGATTTACGCTCAACAAATATGTCACTTTGGCATGTTCCTGGCTCTTTCATAACAACATGTGTTTTTTCAGAGGTAAATAATGAAATTCTCAAAAACAATTCCCGGGTGTGTTGAGACAGAAGTATTTATCAAAAACAACTCCTGGTGATTTGAAGGTTAGGTAACGTATATTGTAATTTGTAAATAGAACTGTACTTGTGAGTATGACTTTTTTAATGAAATCAGCTTATTGATCCAGTAGACCAAGCCATGAACGTTCATGATACCACGTGCACATCGCAATACCATTTCAAAGTCAACCACTCAAGGGGCTTTGATAACTAGTTCAATATCCATGGCTTAGTACAGTCTTGGCTATAACCATAGGGCCTATAATTTCCCAAAGCTCGTGTCAGTTATTAATTTGATTAGAATACTAAGTATAAAGTAACTGCATATTATCTGGAATTTCTTGTAAGTGAAACCGAGAATTCAATTGATTTCATCACAATAGACTCTAAAGGAAATGGGAATATATATTTAGTCTATGTTGTCCAGGTTGTCTGACTGTGTCAGCCTGGTCCGTCGGTGTCAGCCTGGCCTGACAAAGAGAAAGGAAGTACAGGGTGTACCAAAATGACTAGATAGGTTATATTTTAGGTCAATAAAATTGAGTTGGTACCTGTCGTTTTACACCAGTGTTCAAGTTTAATTACTAGGGTGGACATGGGGTTCAAAAACAGCCATTTCCATAGTTGGTGAAAAAGGATTCTTAGGTAAATTATGGTAAATTCGTAATCCAACACAGACAATTTTATTTTCTTTAATTACAAATATCATCTTAATTGACAAAGTAGAAGATATGATGGAAATTTCAAAATTATTTGAAAAAGTGAAGCATAGTGAAATTTTAATTGACGTAAATAAACTTTAAAAATGGAGTAAAGCTAAATTGATCGAAGTATTTGCACGTTGAGGTACATCAATTTGAATAAAGAAAATTCAACTATTTCAAAAAGGATAATTTTTTAATTTGAAACAAACTAATGAGTCCACATTTGCGTTTGAAATCTGGTTCAAAAGAGAGACAGCCTACATGGCGAGACTAGACTTACGAAATTATCAATTTAAATTTCAATCCAAAGGCGGAATATATATTTAAGCAATGCTGTATTATGAGAAATATATTCAAAGAAATATAACAAGATGCACCATTTTTGAGACACCCTATTAATGGATAAACCCATTTTGCCGATATCTCTAGTTTTAGACACCGAAATGTCAAAGTCACACTAATCAGAATTCAACATCACTTTCAAGCCCAACCAAAAATTGAATTAATAGGCCAAATTCGGAAGGTTAGATTTCCAAAGCAATATTGAGCGATAATATAGAACTTTTTTTAAAAAAGTTTTTCGAAGTTTTTGAATATCGTAGGGTTCAAGATAGGAAGTTGTGAAGAGTATTAGAATTGTGAGCTGGGTGAATAGAGCATACGTGATTTTTTCACGTATTCATTCGTGAACCTTTCGTAATTAATTTCTGATTGCTCGAATATCCTCCGAATCTCTATAATTTAGCCAGACGGAACATTTTATTAGCAACGGATATGTGGCCTCTTGAAACGACACTAGATTCTCCAGGTCTCAATATAATTAATCAACGATCTTATTTTTCCGTACTCTTAATTTGCCCATTCACTTTAAGGAAATCTTGCAGTAGACTAGTACTACACTGGTGATCCACTCGATTACGCTGGTTACCGAAGCGGTCCGTTTTGGTAACAAAATGTCGGAACATCTTAGGTACGATTTTTCTTTTTTCCTTACTTCACACGTTGTAGGGAGAATTCCCACGACATTTTTAAAACAAACGTGTATCAGTATCATATGTTTAAGAAAATGTACATATTTGCGAGCAAATAGTTCAGAAGACAACAGAATAGGTTTTTCGAAAAACAGTTAAGATCTGCACTTTTAACCCAAACCGTTTATATAACTTTAAGTGAGGAATTAAATCGACGATTCTGTTGTCTTCTGAGATATTTTTTCGCAAACATGTACATTTTTTAAAACATATGATGCTGATACGCGTTTGTGAGAAAAAACGCCGTTGGAATTCTGCCTACAACGCGTGAAATAGGAAAAAAGAAAAATCGTACCTTCGACGTTCCGACATTTTGTTACCAAAACGAACCGTTTCCAATCGGATCCAGTCGGATTAAAGAGGATAGAATTAAAAACCATCGCCATCGAGGTCGTTTCATGGTATTAGGTCTTTAACATATTCCTTGTATGTTTTTACTCTCATGAGCCACATTCCTTACTTTTTAGGCCACCATATTCAAATCTGAGACCAATATTCAATTCTTTTATTTTCCCAATATTCCTATTTTATAAAATAATATATGGCAATATTCTATATTTTAACCCAACATTGTGACGCACCCCTTTGTAGAGCTGTCGAATGGGCTAGTTATAGATTATCATTACTTAGCCTACTTCTGTCTACATACTTTTATTTATGTTATGCAATAAACTTGAGAACTTCAAAATACACCAGATATCACCTTAATCGCCAATTTTCTTGTAATAAATGACCGTCGTTTCAGAAAACGATCTTACTTTGTAATTGTAATTAAAATTTTCATGCTGATAAAAGGTTTCACAAGCATCTTTGACATCTTTATAGACGTATGTATTCCTGGAATACACAACTTTACCCGATAGGTCTATAAAGATGCTTAGCTTGTTACCGTACCTACTTTGGGTACAGTAAAACCTCCCTAAGTAAAACACCTTTGGAATCATGGGCTAATAAGTGTTCCATTTGGGAGGTGTTCCACTTTAAACAGGGATCCATTTAGCCTAACATTAAGTCAGCTGGTCTTGGGACTCTCAAAAGTGTTTCACTTCTAGAAGTGTTCTACTTTACAGGGTTCATTGTATTTAATTTTACTATTACGTCGGGAGATCCCCCTCCTGATATGGATGAAGAATCTGATGAGATTATGAGTTAAATGTTTTTAACTCCAGTTAGTATGTGTTAGACTTGATCCTTTGGTGAAGTTTTGAGAGATAAAAACGCGGTTATGACGCAATGGTGATGTAATGATTTGTCAATTTACTGCAAAATATTGTCTCGGGGGTTACAATATCGATAATAAAATTATACAATGTTATCAGGAGAGTAATCTCACCTCGTCAGGATGGCCGAGTGGTCTAAGGCGCTGCGTTCAGGTCGCAGTCCACTTCTGTGGGCGTGGGTTCGAATCCCACTTCTGACAAATCTTTTTTTGTATCTGAACCTTTCTTATATGTGAAATTGATCCAAAAGGCCAATTTCTGTGGTAACCATGAAAATGATGACAGGGATACTTTTAATTCTTAACAGTATCCTCAGTTGTCACTTTGATCTCTATGTTGACATCAGTTGCGAAATTGAATCAGTCACTGATTAAATATAAATACCTTTTGTGTAACATACTAATCAATTTGTTTTTCCATTAACCTGCCAAGTTAGTGTCAACTGGTCTCAGGCCCGTAGCCAGGATTTGCCAAGGGGGGGGGGGGGTTCAGTTTTCAAAAATTTCCAGGGGAGGGTTCACATTTGACAATTTTGGCCCAAATATGACTAAAATCACTTGAGAAGTGCTCTAAATGGTGAAAAACTGCATGATTTTGAAAGAATTTTTGGCCAGGGGGGGGGGGGGGTTCGCCCAAACCCTGGGAACCCCCCCCCCCCCTGGCTACGGGCCTGGGTCTTAAAGATCTAATTACACGACATCATGCATATTTCACTAATGTATAAAATCAATTTTTTAGGTTAATGATTTTTTATTTGCATAATTATCAACACAATTATTTACATAGCTTATGGAGGGCCGAGGCTGATATAGACTCATTGCCCCCCCCCCCATATATTCTATTTCCTCTATCTCTTTTAACCTTTAGTACAACAGGACTGCACAAAATATTGCTTAACAACTAGATCGAACCAGAGGCAAGAACCAAAAATGACAGTAACAATCCTTTTCCAAAGTTGTATCCAATTTATCACCATTTGTCTCGTAGCAGGCATTGAAGCATGAACTCAGTGGGAAAGGGTACCAGAAATGAATGATTTGGGACGATTATCCGTGCACTGTTAATGAAATGTGATTATCTTGTTTTTTTATCCGTAATAATAAGTGGTACAATAGCTTGCTCTAAAAGTAGTAATTTACTTGACGTTTGTTATGCGGTTGTTTAATAAGCGTATTGTTATTTTTAAGATTAAGATAGATTGGTTCAGGCACTTTGAATTGGGTGTTGTAGGCCTCCAATATTCATCGTCTCATCTATGATTGCACACCCACATTTACATCAAATGACTGAAATCTACGTTAGAGACCATAACTTAGATGATAATTTAATGACTCAACTGAATTACATCCATTTACGCCCGCCATGTCAGTGGGATGGTACGATGAGTGCAACGGTGAGCCAAGGCATTATGACATGTCACAAAGTACGGTAAGACCCAATAATGTCCCAAGTTTACCGATTTTTTTATTCCTCGGGTACTGAACAAAATTATATGAAGTCTTGAAACGAAACTCATTATACTGAGGCTAATGGAATATTGAAGCTCTGTATCTATAAGGTGTAGCATCCTCAAAATGACCTCACCTGCAGATATTTTTCCATCTTCCGGAGGATGCCATTTTTCATTTTCCTATCTTCAATCCATTGATTCCAATTATCTACAATTCGTTTTTCGTTCAGATTGATTCCGATTGGATTGCTCTGAGAAATTATATCTCTAGATAGAGATGATCACTTGCAACGAAGCGGGTCAGTCAGACTAAACATGGAGGCCTTAATGATAAGTTGGATTACCGGAGGCAATTTTATCAAAAATTGCAGCCGAATGTTGAAGAACAAAAGTGAGATCATCCCTGTCATTCAGCCCATACATGCTGAGGAATGCATTCGGGTCATTGACAACTGTGCTGTTTTGCCTCCAGCGCGATAATGGCCAAATCTAAAGTTATTCAAAGTGCTGTAAAATTTTGACTATCAAACGCCTAACCATCGCGTAAGCAGGCGTCACCGTACAGCGTCAAAAAATACAGTAGTACAGTTTTCTGTACGGTGACGAAAATTAACTGAGTTGAAGCAAAAACTATAATGAGGGTTTTAAAAAGATTAATTAGATGAAAATAAATACGATTTCGGGTGTAATAAAAACAGCATTCTCTTAGGAATGGTTTTAACTTTCTAATTATGATAAAAGATTTTCGAGCACTGTTCGGATTTTTTCTGACTGGATCGGCCCACATAATCGACTCGAGAGAAAAATGGTGTTTTTTCACTTTTCGTTTGGTTATTATTTTCCCTGTCGTCTGAGAGTATGGATGCATTGTGTACGTTTCATGACTTCCTGATTTTGCCACCAGCTTTCCACTCTCTTTGACGGAGGCGTAGATTTTAACGTAACAAAAAATAAGAAATAATCCCGCTCCTCCAAGAAACAGTACTTTCTTTATGAAGCCGCCTATATTGGAATATGAATGGCGTTTGTATACACAGAACATGATTTTTGTGTTGAAATATACGAGAGGGGGGCCTTCCGGATGTGCAGCAGTGTATCCGACTAGCTTTGGAAGTGTCGGAGCCACGATTATGACCAAAGGTAGTAGATATAAAATTCCCAGTATTATAAAGATGGCGAGTTTTTTGTGCAGTTTCCTGGATGTGCGTCTATGGACCACTATAAGATACCTGTAAAATGCTATAACTGCGATATGAAGTATGCTCAAAAGTATACTCAGATTACTTAAGTACATAACGTAAACGCAAACGCTGTTATCAAACGTCCACGCTCCATGAACGTACGTGTAAATGTAAAGTGGTTGTACTCCCAGCGCTTGAAGTAAATCACAAAATGCCAAACTCGCAACGAAGATGTTTGAAGCCTTTTTCATTTTAGGAATTGTTAGGATGGCAATGATTAGAAGAATGTTCCCAAATATACCAGTTATTGACACAATTGTTCCTGTTATGGTCCCAATGTACGACACGCATGCAGGGATATAATTCGGCACTCCGTCAAATTCCGGAGAAGAGTTCTGCGGCGGTCCACCTGGCGGTTCATTTGTGCTGATATAAACAGTAAAATTTAAATTATCACTATAATTCGGGTTCCTTTCATAACCTGCCATTCTGTAATGTATTGACAACTCAGTCATCAACTCTTTCTACGAGTTTTGAACTATATCAAGTCCTTACGGGATTCGGTGCGTTGTGAAAAGTAATTCGTCGATGCAGATGTAGTCGAAGGCATTTTTCATAATCACTGTCTCCGTCGTGTTATCTTGCTGTATTTCTAGGATGTATTTGAATTTGAATGCCTTTGTGCTTTGTTCACTTCACATTTGTTCACCAACCTCGGGTTTTATCAGTTTCTATTTTCCGTTTTACTACGCCAGGTTCAGGATGTATAACGTTAAAAATAATCCGTATAAAATTAATCAACTTCATTAACTCTCTGGAAGGAAGACCGGCTCATTGAAGATTATATCTTGTAATAAGTAATATCTTTAGTTATCCTAGCCGTTGTGTGCCGTAATAGATTTTCTTCAACGCAACTGCTATTCGCCTTGGGTTTAAGCCTCGACTGTTCCAGCTCTCATTTACGCCCGATCTTATATTAGCTATAATGTGTTTTGATACTCGTTGTGGAGAATATATCAGGTTAAGTTCAGAAGTTTCTGCAACGGAATTTAAATAAGCGAATCTTATTGTAATTTCACTTTAATTATTTAACTGTGACATTTGAGGTTTATGTATGAAATGAGATCAATGCTTTCTCAATCTTTTCATCATCCCATATGCAGGGTTTTGTTTACACTAGTAAGATGGAACTCAATTGAAATATTATGTTCCATGGTGACAAGTATTTTTGCATTGAATTGGCAACCTGGTTTTCATTTTGCATGCAACAATCCTGTTCAATTATCGATAAACCTTCTCTCACTCAAACCTAAAAAGTGATGTTTCAACAGTAAAATAACTCCCTGGCCTCGTACATATTGTAATTTTTAAGCATTATAACATGTAGACAGTTTGCGTCATATCGAAATCGCACCGTCATTTTGAAACTGATGAGCTTCCGCTATGAGATGCAACTAATGAACCAAATTTGTCTGTTTTTCGGTTAAAGATAGAGTAGTCGGTTTACAACTATTAATACGAGGTAAAAAATGTACAATACAATGAGGGGAGGAATGTAGGAGGATTTATAAAATAAAGATTAAGAGTAAATATGACCTCTCATCTCGTTTCGTAGTTTGCCAATGTTAGTGCTATGTTAATGATGACCTATCGCCTCCGTGAAAGAAGACAAGATAGTGCATAAAACATGGACGGCGCCCGGTTCAGCCCTCATCGAGATACTCCAGCTTTACCATTTACATTCGTTCAACATTCGTTCCACTTAAAAGAACTAACTTCTGCGCCCAGGGTCAGTAAGTCTAGAGTAGCGTTTCAGACGCTTTCTTCAGCTTTACTGATACGAAGGAGTTTATCTTAGAAGGATAACTAATTGCTATTTCGCTTGTTAACTGCAATGAAAAGGTCAAGAAAAACATTCCATAATTATTAAACGTTTATGTTTTCAGCGTAAAAAGGTCCGAGTAATAAATACTTGGCGTGTCTGATTACTCGGAATTGCTCTTGCTACTTAACCTTGGAGCCCATATTATCTATTGGGCTGATTGATGGAACCAGGAGGCAAGACCGAGGATGGAAATCAGGTGACGAATGAAATAAATATTAGGAACGCATCCGACTTTCTCTTAAAACATTTAAGTGTCTGCATTCAACGTGTTCTAGAGAAATCTCATTTCCGGCAAATAGCATCAAAATAGACCATGTCGTTGAATTTCTTCTCAGCCGGCGAGATCACAATACAAGTGAAACGATCATGCATGAGAATCAGAATGGCAAATTGAGAAAAATACTTTCCCGTACCCATTCAACACTGAGGAAAATTCTTAAGTGAATACGCAGCTATCCTTTAAGAATGGTAATAACTTTTCCAGTTATATTTCCTTTTTTATTTGCTTGAATTATTAAAAAAGTATGTATTGTAATGTAAAGAAAGCTCTTTACAACCCATTTTTCCGATCGATACTACACCCCCTTCGTAAGTTGACGTAGTTACGAGAGTCCACATTTGGATCATCTATCAATGCCTATTTATGTTTGGTGATTTAAAAAATTCATAAATTTCCGAACTTTTGTACTCAAGAAGCAAAATTAAGATTCAGACATTGATGACATTTGACGTGCAATCCAAATGAAAACTACAGGTTGCCAAACTTGAGGAGGGTAGTGTATTTCAATATTATATTTCTATTCGTGAAAAAGTAAAGTTGACTGTTCACGCATGGTCAATGGTGATTCAATGGTTTCTTGAAATTAGATTTCCCCTTGTTGCTATTTTAACGATTCTTTCATCTAATTGCATCCGAGATAATTTGAGGTAAGTGTCCTAGATATTGTGCATGGGCGGAGTACGACCATGCCTCATCACTCATCGGCACGAGAGTGTTTATTTATCGCGGATGGTTGAACTGATACAGTTAAAAGAATCTTGAATAAAAGGATCAAGTTATTGTTTGAAACAAGGATATAGGGCAAGAATGTTTTGAAATTAGGATTAGTATCGATAACCGGAATTTCATAATGTAGACTATCGACTATGAATTACTTATATTCTTTTGTGTCAGTGGAGTGATTTTGATATGACGCAAACTGCCAATATGGAATACGTGCGAATCTACGAAGCCAGAAAGTTATCAAGGTCACTAAGGACTTTACTCCATTAGTATAATACTGCCCTTCGTATGAAAATAAATTACTATTATCAATCCAATATCCAGTACTCGGGGTTAAGAAATAGAAAGTGACCCGTGCGTCAAAGTTTGGATAAGTTCCATTAACAACACAATTTGAACGTTTTCCAAGATAAATGATGTTACGTGGGAACGACGTATGGAGACTCGTAAAATAGCATCAATACATGTTAGTCTTCACATTACATTTCTACAAGTTGAGTTATGATTACTGGACCCTTTCAATAAGCTTTGGCTCTCCCGCGCTGGTACAGTCATCTTACTTACTACTTAGTCTTTGAACATGTTCGACTTGTAACGTATATGATTTGTTCGTTAACTAGATGTTACTACTTGAGGTTGAATGTAGGAGGATTACGTTATCAAGCAAAACACCCAACAAATATGTTTGATTTAGTAAATAGTGATGGAAAAATGACAGATAAAAACTAAGGAAGTCCAATTAGGTGAACGTATCAATGTATAGATTTACATTAAAAATAAAAAATTACGTTAAGGCCCTACCCACTCATACTCTTTCAATAGTTTGATTTTGCTTCTTTAAAAGAGAACTTCGTCCACATCATCCTAATGAATCTTCTCAAGGTGTTAATATAGAAACAATTATGTATAAATTGTATATTTTGCATTGATGTTACACTCGGGGACGTAGTTGAAAGGCAAAGTTTGTTTAACGTTACGTAATATCAATTTGAGGTTTTATTGTAAATCGATTTACGCTCAACAAATATGTCACTTTGGCATGTTCCTGGCTCTTTCATAACAACATGTGTTTTTTCAGAGGTAAATAATGAAATTCTCAAAAACAATTCCCGGGTGTGTTGAGACAGAAGTATTTATCAAAAACAACTCCTGGTGATTTGAAGGTTAGGTAACGTATATTGTAATTTGTAAATAGAACTGTACTTGTGAGTATGACTTTTTTAATGAAATCAGCTTATTGATCCAGTAGACCAAGCCATGAACGTTCATGATACCACGTGCACATCGCAATACCATTTCAAAGTCAACCACTCAAGGGGCTTTGATAACTAGTTCAATATCCATGGCTTAGTACAGTCTTGGCTATAACCATAGGGCCTATAATTTCCCAAAGCTCGTGTCAGTTATTAATTTGATTAGAATACTAAGTATAAAGTAACTGCATATTATCTGGAATTTCTTGTAAGTGAAACCGAGAATTCAATTGATTTCATCACAATAGACTCTAAAGGAAATGGGAATATATATTTAGTCTATGTTGTCCAGGTTGTCTGACTGTGTCAGCCTGGTCCGTCGGTGTCAGCCTGGCCTGACAAAGAGAAAGGAAGTACAGGGTGTACCAAAATGACTAGATAGGTTATATTTTAGGTCAATAAAATTGAGTTGGTACCTGTCGTTTTACACCAGTGTTCAAGTTTAATTACTAGGGTGGACATGGGGTTCAAAAACAGCCATTTCCATAGTTGGTGAAAAAGGATTCTTAGGTAAATTATGGTAAATTCGTAATCCAACACAGACAATTTTATTTTCTTTAATTACAAATATCATCTTAATTGACAAAGTAGAAGATATGATGGAAATTTCAAAATTATTTGAAAAAGTGAAGCATAGTGAAATTTTAATTGACGTAAATAAACTTTAAAAATGGAGTAAAGCTAAATTGATCGAAGTATTTGCACGTTGAGGTACATCAATTTGAATAAAGAAAATTCAACTATTTCAAAAAGGATAATTTTTTAATTTGAAACAAACTAATGAGTCCACATTTGCGTTTGAAATCTGGTTCAAAAGAGAGACAACCTACATGGCGAGACTAGACTTACGAAATTATCAATTTAAATTTCAATCCAAAGGCGGAATATATATTTAAGCAATGCTGTATTATGAGAAATATATTCAAAGAAATATAACAAGATGCACCATTTTTGAGACACCCTATTAATGGATAAACCCATTTTGCCGATATCTCTAGTTTTAGACACCGAAATGTCAAAGTCACACTAATCAGAATTCAACATCACTTTCAAGCCCAACCAAAAATTGAATTAATAGGCCAAATTCGGAAGGTTAGATTTCCAAAGCAATATTGAGCGATAATATAGAACTTTTTTTAAAAAAGTTTTTCGAAGTTTTTGAATATCGTAGGGTTCAAGATAGGAAGTTGTGAAGAGTATTAGAATTGTGAGCTGGGTGAATAGAGCATACGTGATTTTTTCACGTATTCATTCGTGAACCTTTCGTAATTAATTTCTGATTGCTCGAATATCCTCCGAATCTCTATAATTTAGCCAGACGGAACATTTTATTAGCAACGGATATGTGGCCTCTTGAAACGACACTAGATTCTCCAGGTCTCAATATAATTAATCAACGATCTTATTTTTCCGTACTCTTAATTTGCCCATTCACTTTAAGGAAATCTTGCAGTAGACTAGTACTACACTGGTGATCCACTCGATTACGCTGGTTACCGAAGCGGTCCGTTTTGGTAACAAAATGTCGGAACATCTTAGGTACGATTTTTCTTTTTTCCTTACTTCACACGTTGTAGGGAGAATTCCCACGACATTTTTAAAACAAACGTGTATCAGTATCATATGTTTAAGAAAATGTACATATTTGCGAGCAAATAGTTCAGAAGACAACAGAATAGGTTTTTCGAAAAACAGTTAAGATCTGCACTTTTAACCCAAACCGTTTATATAACTT